TGTCTCAGGGTCACACGTCTGAAAATGCGGTCCACAGAAACTGGAAATATGAGGTGCTGGGGGAGGGAGGTTGCGGAACCCTTATTTGATCTCATGAGCCATGTATTTTCGACGGACAAGGGCCGCCAAGAGATGACCTACTACCTCCAGGGTACTTAGCTTAGGCAGAATAACATTACCGACAAAGACGGTAATGTTATTCTGCCTATGTATCATGCGCCGCTGTGCGGCTGCTGGTTGGGCTCGAGAGAGAGCTCTTAAGGCACAACGGAACGAGTGAGTTCCGTATGAACGATCGGTGAGCGCCCCCTACCACTGTACTTAGCTTAGTTGGTCGGTTAAGGGCGTAAACACGCTAACTCCTCATCCGATAGTGACGTCTACTAGAAAAGTGAGTAAGTCAACGTTTTACCTAATAGGTTCACCGAACATCGGACAGTATTTTACAAGGTCCCCGTTGTGAAGGCTCCGTCGACTTGTTTGCGGTTGTTGTCCGAGATTTTCATTCTTTGCGTTTATAAGTCCCAGGAATCGCTGCTGTCGTACGGCTCCGGAATGTCGTCAAAACACATATCTGGTCTTTTAGTTGGTACCTTTGCTGTCAATTTTGATATCTTGCAGCCCCAATATATACTACTACCAGTCTTCTAGTAGTTCGTTCAATATTGCGCGGTGATCCCGCTGTGGCTAGTGGACTACAGCCCACATATTCATATCAAATTTCGGTCTGTGTCTATAAGTCCAAAAGAGACTGATTTAATCCAAGTAAGTGATTAATTCCTGAGGAGATTTAAAAACTACATCGGAAATCACTGCCTCATATATGTGGAGCTTCCGCTGGGTTCTGTCTGCCAATAAGTACGCAAAGCGCGTAGAATGAGGGTACTTAACTCATTCTCGTTTGAGTGACAGGTGGAATATGCACTCATAGCGCAGCACCTCCATGTAAATGGGGTGTGGTTGTAGGCCGGATTACGTCGTCCCCCCCCCCCCGTTTTCCTTCAGACGGCTCTAATTAACTCCGTTCTCGGTCAAAGCTCACAAGGCCAAACTCGCCTTACAGTCCGGCAGATAGGATAATCATGCGCGTCAGCAAATTCCAAAATTCCTCTGCATTTGACGAAAGCATTACGCAAATTCCCAAGGCACCAAACTTAAATCTGAGCACTAAATGCTTCTGTATTAAAGTGTCATTTATTAAAATATGAGAAATCACCATACTGAAATAATACGGGAAGACTGAGCTGTGTATTCCAGACCCCTTTTAATAATCGAGCTTTAACATCTTCGTCCATGAGTAGCAGTTGCCACCTACCGTTTGGGGAATGTTTGAACAGCAAAGCAATGTTACACCAATCTGACAGTTTTGCCTTAAAGCACCAGCCGGCGTGGCGAAATAAAACAGTTCTCTCTGATAAATACGTGACAAACTGCCCAGCAATTCAAGAAGGGTCACTGACTCCCAATGTTCAGCCTTTATTCTTAATGCTCTCTTGACATTTTAATCGTGCCGCACTTCCATCGGGACAGACAATCAGGGTGTGTTGTAAAATTCACATGACTCAGTCTTTTTACCACGTATTCTGACTTGCTTTTAAATCACTGATTAGCTGTCGCATACCCGTAGTCCGGCTACAATGGACGATTGCTAACCTGCTGTTTCCTCAACAGCCGGATCCCCTGTTTCTGTTTCCGGGATGCTTCTTGATGTAATTCTAGCACTGATCACTCACCGCGAAGTTGTCCGTTCCGTTACGTCATACATGTGGGATTGTAAATGATCACAAAGGAATTGTTGATCGTTAACTTCTTGTGGCCGATGCCGTTGGGATTTTTCTTGTTCCCTTCTTTATGAGCGAGAGAATCAGGTTGACTGATTGGCCTGAAGCAAATTAGTCACGATGACGTTTCGGTCGGCACAAAAATTGTTCTGTCCACTCCCCCCTCCCCCACTTTGTTATTTATTATTGCACCGTAGGCCTGCAGTCATGCCTCGGTTCTTACCCGGAACTGACCTCATAGGCAAGGCGGAACAACAGGGCCCTATGACGTCACTACAGCTTCCGACCGTCCCTTCGCCGGGCGGTTTTCTCCCCACCCGGCGGGTAGGGTCACCGACGGGCTGACCTCTGACCTGGGCTTCACATGTCCAGGTACCTGTAGGCTTCGGTGCGGACGTGTATAGACTGTCAACAAAGTAAGATTCAGCAAGACGCAACAGGGCTTCCCCGCCCCCACCTTTCCCAGCTCCCAGTGTTATGTCATTTACGTCCAACTGGACAAAGCTGCTCCCCGAAACGTTGTCCGATGACTGGTACTATCCTCATCTTTGTTGATCCTTTCAACCGCCGGCTGGAAGTCCATCTCTCTATGACGAATACTTTGTTGTAACTCCTACTTTTACACAGCTTTTTGTAGCCGTTTCCCTTGTCCAGATTCACTTTTGTTTAAGCCGATGTACCAAAACACGAGCAGCTACTCAGTAGCGGAATCTTTTTCGCCCTCTGCCTTTTCTCTCCATGTGTGTCGATGAAATAAGCAACCAACCTGGTACGGAAGTCAACCTTAGCCTAAGATGACTCATGAAGGATAAAATGGGATCGGGATGCAGATCAATCCGTACTTTCAAATCATCTCTCGCGAGCGAGCGCGGATGTTCGTCCCGGTCGATTGGTTGGTTTGAAAGGAACTGACATTCTGGACTGGCCAGACTGCCGTTCTTTCGCGCAGCTCTTTCAACGCATTTCTGGCGTCCAGAAGCGCTGGTTGTCTTGTTGATGGGGTGCTTGCCAGTATTGGCCGGGACACATTTTGCGGCCCATAACCCCCCAGCGAGGGAGTCCCCTTACTATTGGCCGACAAATCGGCCCCAAATGGCTGCCATCAAATTCGCCTATGCGTCACGTAGAGACCGCCAGTGCATTGGCAGGCAACTGCCAAAAGTAAACGCTGACAAGCCTGAAATGAGCATCAGTTTCAACGCTTGATGTCCTACGCAAAACGCGGAGTGGACACCAATCAAATCTATCAACCGCGACTCGTGTGGGATACGGCTAAAAACAATCGAGGTGGTGTGTGTGTGGTCACCACCGAGCCGGCCACAAGACAGGACATGCTCGTCCCGGAGCCTCAAGACAGCGCCCCTCACAGATCGTGTCTTAACGACAAGTGGTCGATAATGTGGGTGCAATGCTGGATGCTGCATGGGGAGCCGAAATGACAACTGCTGACTTGCCTTCATCGGTTGACGGTAAATCAATTTGTGCTGGACCGGGGTAGCGTCACCAACGTGCACCATCATCTGAGCTGGAAGGCAAAACGAAACGAGCGTACTCCGTCTCCCCACCTGATTGCTGAGGCGCTACGGTCAAATGATCTTTAGTACTCCCAATCACGGCCGACAAGACGAGGAACCGGGGCCCAGCTGGTACAACGTTGAACCGAAACTTCTCGATGAACAGCCGCCGCGAAACCAAATCACCGGTATGGTTGAAAGGCACAACCCCCCCCCCCCTACTCCGGATCTCTAACGTACGTCAAATAAGGTCTTTTTTCATAGTCTCGAGGCCAGGCTAGGAACAACAGTGGTTGAAGACACTTCTGGATTCCAGGCAGTTATAATATAGGGTGGGACGGTCTGGGGCTGGGATGAGTCCGGTGATGGAGATTTTCCTTTGGGGGAAAAAGATTTTGATTCCGGAAGGCAAATTACTGACAAAGAGATGCAGACTTGAAGATGGAGACACGATCGCTGGGACGAGAGCTTTATTAGTCTGACGTTTCGGATTCCTGCTCGAACACGGAAGACAAGACTGCCGAACTACAATACCTCCGACGGGTTTTCAAAGTCAGTGGCTGCCCGCGTAACTTCGTCAACCGGTGCATACGCAACAGGGACGAAAGGCCTAACTGCAAGGACACCAAGTCTTGGCGGGCACTTCCGTATGTCAAGAACGTTTCGGAAGCTGTCGGTCGCTTTCTCGCACCCCTTTGGGGTTGGAGTTGCACACAGACCGGAGACAATCATCAGGCGTCAGGTAATGAAACCGAAAGACCCACTGCCACGGCTAGAAACGTCTGGAGTCGTTTATCGGATCTGGTGCAGTTTCGGCCAAAGAAACTACGTCGGAGAAACGGGAAGACACCTCCGAACGCGAATGGCCGAACACGCCGCAGCGGTGCGGAGAAATGACGCCAGCTCTCCAGTTGCGGCTCATTCGACGAGATCCGGCCACACATTTAAATTCGACGAGGTCGAAATTCTCGTAAGAGGTAACAATCGCGAGAGCCGGGAGCTGCTTGAGCCATGGTTTACTGGCCCCTAGTCCATTAACAAGTGCAATGACCTTCCCCCTCCATACTCAGTGCCGAGACTTCGTCTAGGCGGAGTAATTAGCCACACGGAAGCGTACAGGTGAAAACTTTTTGCAACGCCACGTTCGGTAGATCAGACGGTCGAGGAATCATCACATCAACATCCAACATCCGTGCTGAAATTGTAGCGATTAAAGACGCGAATGTTGACCATCAAACAGTCAGCACACCAAGTGCACCGATCCCTGATGAAGGGGAAGCCGTGAATATTCATAGGTATGCGGTAGCATAGCGACTGAATCCTATAAATACCGCAGCCCCTTGTGCATGAACCACCCGTATCTGCTTTTGTCTCTGATGATGGGTTCGAGCAGGGATCCGAAACGTCAAGCTGATAAAGCTCTTGTCCCAGCGATCGTGTCTCCTTCTTCAAGACTACTTCCTGGGACTCGTCTCTTCGCTTCTATTGGTAGAGTTGTTTGTTCTCCACAGGAGACATCTAGGGCTGGTTCGTAAGACTTGACAGTCCAGGGACTCGCAAGATAAATGCCCTCAAAGGTTTACTGGAGGACCGACAGTTCTATGTCCCATGTGCAACGAACCCTTTAAAGGCGCTGACACGCGAAATTAATGCTACGCTGTTGGCCTTCGAGAACTCAGGTGCAATAACACCGACCGACAGACGCATGGCGAGACCCCAAGATACGGCTTTGGCCCGATTCTATGGCCTCCCTAAGGTGCGCAAAGACGGTGCTCCTCTCCGACCCATCGTGTCGCTCAAAGGGACTCCAACGTACGGACTGGCTAAGTGGCTGTTCAGGCGTCTCAAGTTCCTGACCGCTGGGTCAGACACCACGGTCTCTTCGTCAGCACAATTCCTGGAGAAACTCAAAGGGGTAAGCATCCATCCAAATGAGGTCATGGTATCTTTTGATGTTACATCCCTTTTTACTTCTATTCCCCAGGACCTGGCGATCGAGACAATTGAACTGCTACTACAAAGCAAATACGATGAAACGGAGAACCGTCTTGGACACGCCCAAATCCTTCAGCTCCTGAAGCTCTGTCTCAGGACGTACTTCACGTTCGACGGGACAATCTACGAACAGGTGAAGGGCACGCCAATGGGTTCGCCGATTTTGGGGTTCATCACCGAGGCGGTCCTGCAACGGTTAGAGTCGCTGGTCTTCCAACACCACAGACCGAAGTTCTGGGCCCGGTATGTGGATGATACCTTCGTCGTCATCGAACGGGATCAGGCGTTGACATTCCGAGAACATCTCAACGCCGTCTTCCCGGACATTCAATTTACGATGGAGGAGGAAGAGAACAACCAGCTGGCCTTCCTGGATGTCCTCGTATGCCGTAAGGATTGTGGTGGACTAAAGACCAAAGTGTTCAGGAGAGCGATAAATACGATGCAAGTAATGAACTTCAACAGTAACCACCCAATCAGCCACAAACGTAGTTGTGTAAGGACGCTCTATCGGCGTGTCGAAACGCACTGCAGTGAGCCGGAAGACAAAATTGCTGAACTACAATACCTCCGACGCGTCTTCAAAGCCAATGGCTACCCGCGCAACTTCGTCGACCGGTGCATACGCAAGTGACGAAAGGCCTAACCGCACGGACACCAAGTCTTGGCGGGCACTTCCGTATGTCAAGAACGTTTCGGAAGCTGTCGGCCGCCTTCTCGCACCACTTGGATTTGGAGTGGCACACAGACCGGAGGCAACCATCAGGCGTCTGATCATGAAACCGAAAGACCCACTGCCACGGCTAGAAACGTCTGGAGTCGTTTATCGGATCTGGTGCAGTTGCGTACAAAGCAACTACGTCGGAGAAACCGGAAGACAGCTCCGAACGAGAATGGCTGAACACGCGGCAGCGGTGCGCAGAAATGACGCCAGCTCTCAAGTTGCGGCTCATTCGACGAGATCCGGCCACACATTTAAATTCGATGAGGCCGAAATTCTCGCAAGAGGTGACAACCGAGTGAGCCGTGAGCTACTAGAATCATGGTTTACTAGTCCCCAGTCCATCAACAAGTGCAACGATCTTCCCATTCAATACAGCGTGCTGAGACTTCGTCTAGGCGGAGTAATTGGCCACTCGGGGAGCGCACTGGTGAACACTCTTCCCAACACCCGGGTCAACGCGTCGGATGGTCGAGCAATCATCACGCCAACATCCAACGCAGCAGCAATTATCGACTCGAATGTCGGCCATCAGGCAGTGATCACACCAAGTGTGACAATCCCGGATGAAGGGGGGGAGCCGTGAACGTTCATAGGTATGCGGTAGCATGGCTACTGCATCCTATAAATACCGCAGTCCCTTGTGCAACAACCACCCGTTTCTGCTCTTTTGTCTCTGATGATGGATTCGAGTAGGAATCCGAAACGTCAGGCTAATAAAGCTCTTGTCCCGGCGATCGTGTCTCCTTCTTCATAAATGCCCTCCTCTGACCTATTTTCCGAGGTGTGTGTGTTTACAACTTACGCTCGATTGCAAAAAGCATGAGTTGTAGAATGGTTGTGCGCTTGACCATGCGGAAAGTCATTCAACGTGCGTTCAGCGTCCAGTTACTTACAGAGTCAGAGGTGAACTAGTAGGACATCCTACTATCCGGCGCAGTAAAGATAGCAAAGTGGACACTTAGCCAAGAAACACACAACTAACTTTGATAAACATTCCACAACTGTCTCACTTATCAGCACACAGTCTGGGTCCCGATTATCCCAGTTGGGCATCTCATGCCCATATCCAGGCCGGTGCGCCCAGTTCTGGATTATCAGCCATACCGACTCTAGGTCTGGATGACCTGCTCACTGAGTTTTAAGTCCAACGCCCTACCAAGAGAGTGGGTCTGCGACTCAAAGCTAGACCTTTGAACTAAACACAGCAGATAAAAAATCCGGATTTCAATCTCAGGTCATCCAGACCTAGGCAACCGTACCTGTGTTGTCATGCAGCAGATACCGAGACTCGCCAGAAAACGAGGGAACAATCTTTGAAAGAGCATTCACAGGACATGCTCGTGCAGCTGTGTCTTGGGACTCAATCCAAAGCCCGCGCCGGTAGTCGCAAACCAGCCACAGTAGGTGCAATTATGAATACCGATTAAGTATGTCCTGTCTAGCGGTCTCTCTGACTTCCGCAACAGACGGTGCCTCGGCTGCAGGGTTCCCGTTAGCAGAGGCAGTATACCGAACGGTTTCGCACAGTTCGGAATCATCTGGCTGGCGCTCTGGTTTACGCTAGAGGTATCGCTATCAATCCGTTCCGTCACCAGGCGGTCATAATAAAGATGAGTGGGCTTAATCGGTGACAGAGGTTTCTCTCGGAGGCGAAAGGATAATGCCATACCAATTCCGGCTTTGGAGAGCCCAGCATTGGGACCCGAATTCTCTACTGACTGAGCTCCAGATCCAACGGCCTACCATGACAACGGGTCCATGACTCAAAACTAGGGCTTAGAACTAAACGCTCAGCGACCAAAAAATCCGGATTAAAATCCCCGTAGCGAAAAAGTGGATTCGCGAATTGAAGGGAATCCACAATTCGTGCATGAGACCCACTTCCGGATTTGCGAATTATACATGAGAGGGAGGAATGGATGCCAAACCCCTAGAAAAGATGGTCGGTTCTGCGAACAAACAACTCCCCGACATCAGACTTCGTTTCCGAAACCGCACAACCCAAAGTTGTCCGCGCATTCAGCACTGGCGGCATGGGGGATACAATCCGACCCAATTACGCGAAGCCGGTGAGACTAAGCCGTAATTAAACGAGGAAAGGGAAAGTTTGCATAGTTTGCAAAACTGTTCATTATTACAGAAATTCCACAATTTGTGAGGGCATATGCGCATATACATAGGTACAAATTACGACCTAAATATACAGTTTTAAAATAGGAATTGACAAGCTGTACAAAATGCTTTTATGCCGGTCCGCAATGGACGTCAGCCTGTATGGATTCTTCGATGAGCGTCTGTCTATATATTAATATCATTCTACATTTAAATAACTGTAAGCTGTATGGGGGTCGTCAAACAATAAACAGAGAGTAGAGGCGTATGAGGGCAGGGTACAGGCCTATAAGGTAACAAACGCCGACGAAGGAAAGGCAAAAAAAAACAGCACATGTCACCGGTCCTGTTTAGCGGTCTCTCTGGCTTCAGTGGCAGACGGTGCTGCAGCAGCAGCAGGGTCTCCGCTAGCAGAAGCAGTAGGCTGCTGCTGCTGCTTTGACGGCATACCGAGGGGTTTCGCGCAGTTCGGAACCACCTGGCTAGCGCTTTGGCTTACGCTGGAGATGTCGCCGTCATCCTCTTCTGTCTCCGGTCGCGTGCTACCACCAATCGCCTCAAAGGCCTCCGAGTAGCCTGTGCTGTCGCCTTCATCCGGACAGCCAGGCAAAGGCCATTGGGAGGGCGCTTGCATCACAGCCGCATGTAGGTCACCCTGGGCGCCGTCATCAACACCATCACCAGTCTGCTTCTCCTCTGTGTCCGAAATGATGTCGTCTTCACTGTCGAAAGCGTCCGAATCTTCATGGCTGCCGCCTAGACCGGCCTCGTCGTTCAGCGCCTTTTTGCGACCGCGACGACGCGTATGGGCGGACCAGTGGGAAAGCGACGCGGCGGCGGCGGCGGCAGCGGCAGACGGAGAAGCACCACCTTGGCCGGGAATAAGTGCCTAAAGCAAGAGGCAAACGATGTGGCTAAGCAGGGGTAGGATACATTACAGTCCAGGCAATCTGACATCCGGACACGCTGGCAGCGCGCTGCTAACAAGTATGAGGGAAGGTGAAATGACCCCGTTTGGCAGTCGGTCATGTTTCAACTTCACTTCCGAAAACCCTACATTTTAGTTATAGTTCAGACGGCCAACGTACTATTGATCGGCAGTGATCCAGAGCGGAATGCGGTCAACTGGTCTCGCTCTAGAGACCAGCGACCCACTGGATCCGACCATGAATCTCCGGTCTGATTATGGACAAAAAGCCCGAAAATGCCATTCTAGTATTTGCCGGGGATACGAGCTATCCGGTTCGTTTACTGGTGGTAGGAGCCAGAATGGCTTTCAGCGAAGGTTTTCTGCGAAAAAAGCGGGCTCTCGGGTCTCGCGAATCGGCAGCTGTAAAGCCGAAGCAGCGACAATGCTACCAGGGCAAGGGGGCGGGGTTGACTGCCTTATAAAGTGCTACAAAGCCCAATGACTTCATCGTGACATGGTGGTTGTGAACCGCTGACGTTGTTTGGGTTTTTGAGTCAAAGCGCTAGAGGAGACCACCTCGAACAAACAATCCGAGCGGCTATTCGGGGACCCGCCTGCCCAAGACACCTCATGAACAACCCGATCCCGGTATTATAAGTGCAGTAGTGATTATGAGTTAGTGGTCGCTTGGCACCATTTGATCACCCGTGGTGCGATTACCGTAGCAAAACAGAGGGCACGCACTCCATTTGACAGTCCGGTCGGATAGTCAAACGCTACACGCAACAGCTGACAACCGCGTGAGTCGCGGGCCACCCGAGTCATGATTCTTAGGCCCGCAATCCATCAACAAGCGCAATGACCTCCCATTACCATATTCGGTGCTGAGACATTCCCTGGGCAGGGGAATCAGTCACGTGGGGAGGGCGCGGGTGACAGTGGGCCAAATGGCTAAGTAATCATCACGCCGACATCCAACATGATGAAATAGTACGCCAGAATTGGTTGATTATAACCTGGCGGGCTGGTAATATACCATGCCTTACTAAGGTGCTTTGGCAGATTTTGAATAATCCATTTTGACCCATCTGTGAAAAACTTTGCGACCTCGGTGGGATTCCAATCTACGACAGCAAGGATAGGGCTTGAGTACAGCCAACTCTCTAGCCACCTGGCCAATGAGGCCCCGCCGGTAGCCGTGCGTTTAATTACGTCTGGATTAAGCTACCTAGATGGTCCTCTGATGGATTAGAGATTACGCAGACAGTCTACTGTATCAGATTTGGCAGAATCCATACGTTGCTGCAGGCTGAGTGGGTAGCCTGACCCAAATGTTCTCGGTTCTCTGTAAGGTCTAGAACGCTGGCTGTACTCACGCCTTCCCCTTACTGTCGTGGGTTCGAATCCCACCAAGATCGCTGAGTTTTTTAATTTGGTCAAAATGAATTCGCCCTTCGCCATCTCTCACCAAGCTCACTAGTGGCGTATTCGTAGCGCCCTGGACTCGGTCGAGGTGATGGTGCACGAAGGACCTTAGGCAACTGTTTCCATATCAGTCATGTTGACAATTTTAGAAAAATTGCTTAGAATAAAGCATTTTTCTTCCCATGCCATCTCTCTCTCTCTCTCTCTCGCTTTCACAGGCGAATGGAGGACACGGGTGAAGCGACAGACACTTCTCGGTCTCCCATTTACACAAACCATGGCTTCAATAATTTATATTTCGCACAGATTGGTTATCGCACAGCTGTTGAGAGGTAATCCGCAGTCAGCTACTTAGGATAATGTGCGTCTGCTAGGCCATGATTCAGCAAGCCATGCCCTCGCAGCCAGATGTGCGATGGGAGCTCCCCGGCACCTGGTTCCCTGTCCGTTGAGGCAGGAGGGTATATAGGTAATGTGCATGGTCACCCAGTGACTTGTGTCATTCTTCTCTTTCTGACCCACTCTTGTTGCTAATTAGAATCCTGGTCAAGTGTTTGTTGTGGACCTGGGTGCGTGGGGTCGTACGCCTAGGTGCAGGTCCGGCCATGCCAGCCACCTGCGTCCTCGCCCGTCCCCGGTCTTCTCGACTCCGTCTTGACACCGGACCCAGGTGGGGAGAGAGTGCGGTAACTGCTGCACAAGTCTACTATCACTATAAACTAATGCACGCAGAAGTCCCTGTGCCTGCTCTCGCCTTGCTCTAGAGCACACGGTGGACATGATCGGCAACCACGGTCGAACTGTATTTATAAACCCGTCATATGGGAGACTACCAAGGCCGGTTTAGTTTCACCTCCTTTCTTCCACCTCGTTGCATACCCCTTGTAAGACCCGGTCAAGCCAACTGAAGATGAGGTCGGGCGAAGTGGTACGACTAGCATACAATCGCCATAGCACCTCCGGTTTGATCCGGACTGACCAAAACATCCGGTCGCACCTATCTCTACATACTTAACCTCGTACCAGAGGCAGTACAACTTCAAAAACTCCCTGTACAACACTCTACGAGATTGAATTCCAACTGGCTGTACTGTCTGTGGAATTTACATCAACAATGGCTAATTCTCCGTATCTCGGTGTATTGGCAAGTCCAGCCTTTCAAAACAGAATATGGGGCTTTACAGAGATGAGAGGCAACTAACCTGCATTTCGGCAATTCACCTCCACAGTGGCTAGTCGTTCTACACGCAACAACTGCCGGCTTTTGGGAGAAGGTGAAACTTCGGAAAAGAATCAAAAAGAACTCAACGTCATGCGAACTCACTGGAGCAGGAAACGCGGTTAGAGGTGGACCAAACGGCACCATTGAGGAGGAAGAGACGTTAGCCAGCACAGTTTGCGATGGCGGTGCAAGGTGCGGAGGTGTCGCCTCCACAGACTGATGCCAGACCGTTGGGTAACAGTGCCGCGGCACAGAGGTGGCAGCACTTGCCCACTGTTGTGACGGCGAATAATGTCGCAGGGAAGGCGGTACCGGAGGCGGTGGGGCAGCATATACAGTAGGCATAGGTGGATAGGGTCGGGACCAGCCACCGCCACCACCAGCAGCAGCAGCAGCCGGGCTGATAACAACAGTCTGCGGACTCCCTGGTCCCCACATTGGCGGATTTGGTGGCTGGAGGCTGGGTGTCGCGG